CGTGAAATGGCCGATCTGAACAAGGAGATTGCTTCCAGAATGGTCTCACTCCAGAACGAAAGTTTCGGGCGGCTTGTCCAGAATCTGGACGACCGCTCCAGACCATTCTGGAAGGTAGCTAAGGTCCTAAAGACGCACCCCAAACCCATTCCTCCACTCAAAGATGAAAATGATGACGATCGGCTCATAATCACCCCTCAGGAGAAAGCAAATGCGATTGGTGAGCATATTGCCAAATCGCACTTGCTTGGCTTCAACATCCAAAGTCCGCTCGAAGTTCAGGTTGAGCAATGCGTACTCAACCTTGATTCCTCCCCTTGTGCCATCCCTCCGGAGGATAGAATCACAGTGGAACAGATTTGCTCAACGCTGAAATGCACCAAAAACATGAAGGCCCCCGGGTTTGACGGAATATTCAACCTAGTATTGAAAAATCTCAGCATGAAGGTTCACTCTCTGCTGGCTGCTGTCTTCAACAGATGCTTGGAACGGCACTACTTTCCAAGTATCTGGAAAATAGCGAAAATCATACCTATCCGCAAACCCGGGAAGGACCCAACGCTAGCTTCAAGCTACAGACCAATCAGCCTCCTTTCAGCGCTGAGCAAACTGTTCGAGAAACTGATTCTCAATCGTTTGCTCAAGTTTGTCGAGGAACACAACATTCTCCTACCGGAACAGTTCGGGTTCAGGAAGGGGCACTCCACAAATCATCAGCTAGTACGGGTGATGAATAACATCCGAAGTAACAAGGCTGTATCCAAGTCTACAGCCATGGCATTGTTAGACGTTGAGAAAGCGTTTGATAATGTCTGGCACAATGGGCTTGTATACAAGCTTTGTAACTTCAACTTTCCTTTGCATCTTGTTAAAATCACCCGTAACTACCTCCAGCAAAGGTCGTTTAAGGTATCGTTGAATGGTTGTCTTTCAGACACGTTTTCCATCCCAGCAGGAGTCCCGCAAGGCAGTCTGCTGGGCCCCTTGCTTTACAGCATTTACACTTCCGACATTCCTCCCCTTGGAGACGGTTGCGTGTTTTTCCTGTTCGCAGATGATACCGCAATAGCCGTCAAAGGAAGGATGCCTCGCGAAATAACGAACAAACTTCAACGATGCCTTAACGCCTTTGCTGATTATGCCACCACGTGGAAAATCAAAATCAATGCTTCCAAAACACAAACAATCATGTTCCTCCATCGACAATCACCCAAACTAAAACCGGCTCCCTCTTGTACTGTAATCATGGATGGCACAAGGGTTGAGTGGTCCGCCGAAGTAACCTATCTCGGGATGTTGTTTGACGAAAAGCTCCTATTCCGCTCGCATGTGGAGAAAACCGTAGTCAAGTGTTCCGCTTTGGTTAGGAGTCTGTATCCGCTGATTTGCCGCAGATCCCGCCTCTCAAAGGTGAACAAACTGGCCGTCTACAAACAAATCATAGCACCTGCGATCCTCTACGCAGCTCCGGTGTGGGAATCATGTGCACAGACTCACAGGAACAAAATTCAGGTAGCTCAGAATAGAGTGCTGAGGATGGTTCTTGATCGTCCTTTCGACACTAGAATAACAAATTTACATGAAGAGGCAGGCATTGCCAAAATAGATTCCAAAATTAACGAAATTAAGACTAAATTTGCACAAAAATGTAATTTATCAGAACATGCTTTGATAAGCAATTTGTATATAGTAGGTTAGGTGTACATAGTAGTTGTAGGTTAGTTGTAGTTGTAAATAGTAGTTATAAGTAGTCTCCTTTTTCCAATTCAAATCAAACCAATCCCACCAAGGTGGTCATACTTTAAAATAGACCTGATAGGACTAGGAACTGTAAATAATAATTAAAATCTCAAATGTACTAAAGTTGAAAAGACGCATCTGTGTCACTTAAAAAATTCATACATGTAAACCACACAATCACAAGAAATAAAGATCATTTAAATGGCAATGCCTGTGCTCATTACCGCTTCGGACGGCGTGGCCCTTAGTCCTGCAGCAAGCAGGACCAAGTCAGCGAATAAAGGTGGATCACGGCGTGATCACCTGTCACATAATAAGAAATGAGAATTGGATATGCAAAATACCCCTCTCTCCCTGCCCCCGTTTACAATGTCAACTCAAAAAAGACATGGATTGACGATCACTATTTTCCGATCACTATTATTTTTTTTTTCTACAATTATAAGTAAAAACAAAAGCCAAAATTTTCAAAATAATTGCTTAAGAGGAGACATACATCCTATGATATTATGTTGGAAAATTACCAACAACTAACTGTAAAACATATCTGGTACCTCTATATATGCAATTAGATTAACATAAAAAGTCCATCCTTTTTTTCCATATTCTGCACAAAAGAAACGTTCTGCCCCGTCCCATTCATAATAATAAGTATAATAGTCAAAAATGCATGCGAAACATCAATTTTGTGTGGTTCTACGTCATAACTGCGGTTGTGCCTAGGACACAACACTTTATTTTTTTTTTCATGAAAAACTCCGTCTACAACATAGCTCAATCGGAACGATGGAAGGACAACAATTGTTTGCAAGTCTGTTACGCAGGAGAAGATAAACGTAAGCAAATGGGGGATGATATAGGCCTCTAAACCCCGCCATATGATACCCGCCATTTATTTATGGTACAATACAGTATATTTTATTGTATATTTATTTTATTTAAATAATCATTTATTTTATGGTGTAAACAATAGGTATTATTAAAACCCGTATAATAATAGTTATAATAGAATTAGTTGTTTTCATTGATTCCTTACGGATAACGGTCACTTGATTTTTTACCGACACCCTGTAAAAAATACCGATTCCTAGTCCTGACTACTTCAAACTAGGGGAACATGTAGCGAATTCGTTTATTATTAAGTTCCAACCTGGATCGGGTATCAAGTTTGCGTCTGTTTGTTTTCTGACAAACGTCAGTTTGATCGTTTGTTTTTAAAACCTAACTCAGGTTGAGGTTCACACTGACTAAAAGTTCGGTTTCGCACTGATAATAAACGAATTCGCTATTAGTCCTTGTTACTTTTTATGCCTTGTTGATAATGATAAATCCTCGGGTTGCTTGGACCGAGGATGACCTTGAAACAAGGAATAAACTAGTTATTTATTATTATTATTATTATTTAGCTTTATTAAGGAGGCTTTCAGCCTTGGGCTGGTTCGCCTCCAACTAGTTATTTAGTCTTCATCTATGTGATTCCTAATCTTCTATTCGTTTACCTAGTTTGAAGTGGTTAAGACTAGGGTTCTGATGCATGGTCATTATCGGTGTCATTTTGTTGCTAAGGAATCCAATTTTGACTGACAAAGGGACGCGTCTTTGAAGGGTGTTTCAAACACTCCGAAGAGTATAAAGAGCGGGACCTTCATCAATTCTCAATAGTGATGGAGTGATACGACATGCACTAAACAAAGGACACGGGATATACTACAATAGATCAAATTACTGGTCGCAGTGGTGTTACGTCCCGAACAGAGGAAAAAAAAGCACCTCAAGAAGAGCAAAGTTTGTTCCGTAAGGTAAAAAGGTATTAAAAAGGTTTGTTTTGTAGATCTACAAGATGGAAGAGTCTGCCTGTCATTTTCCTTCGCAAAAAGCCCCACCTAATTCTTTTAATTGGTTACTGAAATCCAAGTTGTTTAAAAACCCAAGCAAATTTTTACTGATTTCGGCAATTTAAACTCTGTGTGGTTGTTTGTCTTGTACCTGATTCTGTGTTGCCAGATCTATGTTATGAACAACGTAAGAGACTAAGTAGCCGAATATATTAAAACTGATTTAGGAGTGAGAGTTTAGTAGTTTTCCCAACTGAAGTGTCGGTCCTCTCATCGTTCTCCCAAGATCGCCACTTTTTTGTGTTTCGTTTCAGTTGTCCCGTCAATCGTCCATTCATCTTTCGAGATCTGTCCATCCTGAAATTCAATCGTCCATAGTTCAAGTTAAAGTGCTGCTTTTCGAATTGCCATATTTTTCGCTGATATAACAAAACATGCTAAATTTATTGCAACTAATTTTAACTTTAAAAAATTGCACTTCGTAACTTCGACGGCCATTTTCTCTATGCCTACTTTTTCCAATAGGACTGATATGCTATGATAGGCAGTGCAGTGCTTCTCCCACGTTCATTCAACGGTTCAACGGTGACGTTGATTAGAACGATTAGAATTCACCCCCATGTTTTAAAATGGTAGTCCTTAACCTCGAATAAGCCGCGAGTAGACCCGTTCTACTAACTTTAGTCATAAGAAATCTTGTTAATGTACATTGAATTACGGCTCCCCCAATAAACAACAACAGCTACTCAAGCAAACACAAACTTTTTCAGTAAAAAAATGGCACATAGGGGAATTTACGTATTCTCGTCAATCTAAGCAGCGTCTGCACTTCTACTAGCATTTTCTCAGCGTCACGCACATATATGATGTGTCTGTTTGTTTACATTCATCTGCTGCTTGCTTCTCTATCCATTCCAATCGACAGAATTTTTCAAAACGTTTTGAAAGCGTTTTTACAACGCTCCAAACTTCTCAGGTGAGTGTGACTATTGTCGGCAGTCTCTTTTTCTTCGGCAACCTTCCCATTAGAACTGCGTGTTAACCAGCTGTTCTATTATCGGCAACTCGAAATCAACCTCATTTTGTAGTGCGTATGCTTTATTTGAAGAAAAATGTAGCATTACTGGATTGCTCGATCGTTCAAATATAATCAGATTGAAGCTGAAAGGCTAAACAATCGTTTGGACACATTCAGGGAAGTGCGTTGATGGGAAAACATAGTGAAATTAACGTTTAAATTTTGGTTGCCGAAAACAGTCAATGGGTGCCGAAGCCAACATTTACCCTATTTGTTTGATCGTTAAGCTGGTTAGAATGTTGTTACAATTCGAGATTTTGCAGGCGAATACTAGTATTAAATAAGAACGTAACTTCTACTTATAATCTTTCTAGTTCTGAACTTTCCAAACGTTCTTTGTGCTAAAGGTATTGGAATATTATGTCAATCATGCTACATCGATCCATCCTTCGCACATGGAGGTTCAACTGCGTGCTCGGTCGAAGCTTTGCAATAGCTGAAAATGCTGACAGTGCTCAAACCTCATCGATCGAATTCGGAACATCGCAACCCTCAGATGAATTCACCAAAGAATTTCTACAAAACCAAGTCAAGCTCACTGAACTGCAGAAGGTTATTCTTAGTGCTGGCAGTTCCATAGCTGCGCTGGTTAACCCCCGAAGGTAAGATGCAATCTATTATAAGCTTGTTCAAATTACAGTCTAACGATTGAATACATCTTTCCAGACATGACATGATCGCTTGCTTGGGTGAAACAACCGGTGTTCAAGCATTGAAGAACATTCACCACCAGATGCGGAACTCAGAAGAAGGTCGCCAAATATTAGCAGATAAACCACGCATCAACAGCCGCACTGTTGATATGGAATCATTGAGAAAGCTTCCGGAAAATACGCTCGGTTTCCACTATGTTAGCTTTCTGGAGAAATATGTAAGCACTGATTGTTAACTGTTCTCATACTGTCTTCAGGATTGAATATTTTTATTTTGAATTGCAGGAAATAACACCAGATTCACGAATGGAGGTTAAATTCATGGAAGATCCCGAGCTTGCCTACGTAATGACGCGATACCGAGAGGTGCACGATCTAGTTCACACCATTTTCGGAATGCCAACCAACATGCTCGGAGAGGTTGCCATTAAATGGGTGGAGGCCATCAATACAGGATTGCCAATGTGCTATGGAGGAGCAGTTTTTGGGGCTTTCCGTTTGAGGCCAAAGTAAGTTAAAGGATCTGTTCGTGATAATTTCGATAAGCTGAAAAATACTGTTTTCAGACAACGTCAGAACTATTTGAAGCGGTACCTTCCATGGGCCTTGCAAATGGGACAGCAAACAAGACCACTGATGTGTGTTTACTGGGAGCAACGATGGGAGCAAGATATCGATGAACTCCGCAAAGAGCTTTATATTGATGTACTTAAACTAGAGTAAGCGTTCTTCAATGAAATATAGTATTGTATATATTGTTGGTTTTTCAAATATACATTCGCCTTACAGTCAATTTATGTACATTCCAAGCAGAACAACAATCATCTCAGAATTTCAGCTCGTACTTTTTCGCTTGTAATTTCTGCTTCCGTTTTCCCTCAGTCTCTACGGATGGTCTGGTTTGCATGCCAGAACGACCTAATAGTAGGTCTAACAATTTCCGATTATACGCCTCCGGTAGAGCAAGGTCCAGATCAATCGAGTTTTGTATAATTTCTGAGCATGCTCGCAAATTTCGCCTCCAATCTGCAATGACATTATTAATAATTTTAGATTGTACCTTCTTCAAGCGTACAGATATTAGCCTCACATTGGTATTCAAACAAGCAGATAAGTATCAACCGACATTGAGGTAGCATGTTATGCTTCAAAAATAGTTCCATCAATCTATAGACAGGTTCAGTGTTAAAATCTTGCATAAAAGCAAAGCATAAACTGTTGATTCTGAAAAAGAAAAACAAAAATTTAATAGCAAAAATCTATGTAGGTACCTATATCAATCCAGTTCAATGCAAACCTTTTTGCAATGGCCAATCTCAAGCTCTCGTGTTTGTCGAACATCGCTTTCGCTGCTTCCTGATCGCTGTACCACTGACTGTGGAAGCTTCTCTCCCACACGTAGCATATAAGAAAACTATCGTTCATTTCTTTCAAGCAAAACTCTCCCATCTCTATCACAGCCAGTAGGACGGCTTCACTTTTTCGCCCGATTGTTTCATCAACAATGTTTATCAGTAGTCGATCAATCACAACTTTAGCATCCGGTGTACAGCCAACCAGTGCTTCTTTCATTTTATCTAATGAATTCAATGAATTACCACTCTTCCAAAGCAATATTGCTTTATAATGTAGCATATTGCAATTCTCAGCCACATACTTTGGACTTACTTTATGGCAAAGATCCACTAGCTTTTCTAATCTGTTGCGATCTAAGGTATTCGCTAAATACTCCAGTAACATATTCAGAACATTAGTAGAAGGGAGTTTTTCATACTCGAGCATTTGATCAAGCAGAAGTTTTACATCCTTATCGTTCTCCTCTTTGATAGCAGTGTCTACCAGATTATCTATATGTGTTTGTTCCAAGAGTTCAATGTTGATAAGAATCGGGTTCGACGTTAGATCATTGAAGATTTGCGTTAATCTGAAAGGTGTACTTTTTGGACTCGAAATAGACGAATTAAGCACAGGAGCTTTTAGCACTGGAACTAGTTTATGTTTGTTGTTGAGTACTTTCCATTTGAAGGCCTTATTTTCCATTAATTCACTGATAAACGAATCGATAGCATCAACATTGGTGCTTTTACGATGACTTAACAAGAGACTCAAGAGCCAGGCGTTTGGTAATGGAACTCCTCGAAAAGCAACATGTCGTGAATTCAACGCGAACAACGCCATCGCAAATGATTTTCAGCTTGAATTCTAGATATTATTGTATAATACCGATATGGTGCATGAAAAATTATTTGAAAATAACAATTTTACGTACTAATCTCCCTTTTTATGGCACAGACCTGTTGGTCCATATTAGACGTACTAATCGTTCGACTTCAGTATCTATTTTGTGCTTGTTGTTGTTTTGTTTGGATGACAGCAAGAAAAATGTCGTTTTTGACAATTATTATGACAGATGAACGATAAGCTGAAATAAATATCAAGCTGAACATTGCATTAGGTCTTAAGTAAAATTAAAAAAAAAAATGTAATATCGATCAACGCAATTCAAGCTGATGTATAAAATAATGATGTAATAGCAAAAATCAGATACAATATTACATCAACGGATGTAAATTTGTTCGCAAAATCGGTATACATCGTACAACGTAATATTACACCACCAGCGGAATGACCTCTGTGCAGCTGTTTGGATGTAATATTCAACAACTTTTTTTTTCTGTGTAGGCAACATTGTATACGGTGACAGCGGGCCCAGTACAGCAAAACAAACGATTTGGGCCCCGGAAATGCTGCCTACTGTCAAACATAGCTGTTAGTATAGGCTTTGTCACCGGCCTGAAATTGATCGATTCTCTTTGTCGACTTTCTCTTTCGTTAATAACTTGAGCACATAACCGTTTCTTGTTGTGTTTGTATTATTAGATGCTAGATAAAAGCTTCTTTTATCGAAATGCTTTCTGAAAACACCTGGGAATGTCTTTACATGGCCGTGGGGATACAAAGAGAAGTCGACGTAGAGAACCTGTCAATTTGATATGGACCAGTTAGGTCTGTGCCACACAAATCAAGAGCCACATGTGAAAAGGGCATACAAGCTTTTTGTAAACAAACCTTTGTAGGCCCTCTTCTCGCCAACCGAGGGTCGCCAACGCAAACTAACAACATCATCGCGAAGGGGAAATCTTCCCCTATCCGGCGATGTTGATGGTTTGCGTTGGTGTCATATGGGTGGCGAGAAAAGGGCATAAGAATGTTTGTTTACAAAAAGTTTGTATGCCCTTTTCACATGTTGTTCTTGAAATGCGAAAGAAAAAAAAACACTGAAATAATAGAAGTCGAGATAAAAGTTACCAAAATTGTACACACGAAACGAAAATTAACTATTCAATTCATGTGTTTCCCCTAATAAAAATGTTATGGTTTTTTATTGCAAATTAAAGACGTGTTCGGGGTATCATCCAAACCATTTGTGGAATAGTTCAATGATTTGGGTTATCGTTCGTTTATGGTATTTTTTTATTAGGGTCAGTTATACATTTTTACCAAAACATCAGCCTTATACATTCCATAAGACAGACATGCTGTAAGAATGCATAAAATGTGTGACCACCCTAATAAAAAAATATCATGAGCGAACGATAACCCAAATAATAGAACTATTCCACAAATGGTTTGGATAATACCTCGAACTCATCGTTAAGCAAAATAACCATAACAATTTTAATAGGGCACTTATACACTCGCTTATACATTTTATTTGACATGACATGATCTGCATTACCTTTTTGCAAGGCTTTTGCTTATTAGTTGGCTTACACGATATTCAAAACTACCCAAATTTGGGTAGAATCCACCCAGATTGGTCAAAACTGATGCTGTCTACTTTGTTCATTTGTCAACTTGTCACTGCCCGAAAAAAAATAACAACAAAAATACAATAAAAAACAATGTAACAATAAGACGAAAATTATTGTCTTAACAATGATTTATATTGTTACGTCTACAATAAATTTACCTTGATTTATGTTGTACAAAACAGTAAATTTCATGGTAAATGGAAAATTTACAATAAAAAAGGGGGGTTGTTAAGTATCTTTACAATGAAATTTTCGTGATTTCCCCATATAATTTTTTTTCAATAACATTATATCGCCAACAGTAAGGCTGGCGAATTTATTGATTAAAAAAAACAGTGTACTTTAGAGTGTATGTGTTGGCTTGACAGATCTACTTTATCGACTTTAAAAATAAATCGAAAAAATAAAACATCGCTCCGGGGAGGGAAGGGGGTGGTAATGTCTGTTACGGGTGAGTCCTTTTTTTACTGGTTATGGATTGAGATTCGATCCGAAACTTGTGAGAAATGGAAGCCAACTCCCCTGCACTCGATCTCTCTAGGTCACGTCTCCTTGGTGGTTGAGCGTCGTGATAAGTTAATGCATTCAACTGGAGAGAATCGCCCATGAAAATATGCTTCCACCTGAGAGTTAATTCCTGACATCTTCAAGTGGTGGATTTTTTTTTATTATTATTGTATGATTATTGACTGTACGGAAAAGGTCTGCATTAAGCGGGATTTAGATGAGGCAGGAGAGTTGAGTTCAACTCAAACCGATCTGGTCGTAGGCGTTCAATTGACTTGGCAACGAATAGAGCCAAACGAACTGTCAAAGCAAGAGCCATACGAGCAGCGCCTATCTTGATTACATTGGCAGTGTTGCTGACCCTCTCATAGTCTGCATGCTTCAATCAGATTTATTTTTATTGTTCGTGAAGTAACCCACAATGAAAACACACCAATATTTAATGTAACAACATTTTTTATTGTAATAGAATTGTTGATTATTGTTCGTGATCGAATCATGTTAACAATAAAATAAATGAAAAATACAATAAAAATCATTGTAACAACATTTTATTATGTACATTCATTGTACAGCTAGGTAGCAGTTTTGCCGTTTTCGGAAGGGTACAACATTATAACAATCATTTTTATTGTCGACAATAAATATTAATGTTAGAGCATTGTTTCCACTGAAAATTTCACTGTAATTTTTTTTTCGGGTGCAAACATAGTTCATCAATTTTTAGGTAGGAAGGTTCAGTTTTGATCGATCTGGGTGGGTTCTACCCAAATTTGGGTAGTTTTGAAATAGCGTGTATACATTTTATGAATAATCCTCGGAATAATCAGCAATATAAAGTTTCCAAAAGGTATAAGGGGAGTTCTATTTGTGCAGAGAGCTGCAATTCTTCAGTGCACGACGTGTAAATGTTTACATCATTGGCAAATTACAGGTAATCATAACGTTTTGTACACGAATGAAAAAAGAGGCCTACTGCGTCAGAATCTGTCATGATTACCTGAATTTTGTCAAAAAAATGTAAATATTTATTTCGCTGTATGCAACAACTTTTGTAAACAATAGCTATGTTTCCGTATTTGCTACTAGCAAGATTCTGTACAGCAAAAAGCAAAAGTAATATGTTCCCGTAATTTCTTCACCATATTATTTTCTTACCGCAACTTACAGCAAAGTGAGCTTCTGGGAGACAAAAACGATTATAGAACCTGAAAAATGAGTGCTTGGTATAACTTATAAATACCACAATTTTTACGTTCGCATGTGGCGGTGACCGAGAAAATTTCTTCTTGTGAGAATAAACACGCGACGTAAACTTATAACGAATTAAAACTTTATTGTAACGATTAAAATACAATCGTTGATCGCGGTGCGCATTACAAACTTTTGGAATATTCTGACGTTTATGCTGCTCGGCTATCATGCGTCAACGGGTGACAGTTACTGTGTGACATATATTAGCGCCAGTGTAAGCCGGTCTTAACTTGACGCTTAACAAGTCAGCAAGCCATGTGCTGTAAGCGCAAACCGGTAAACGGAGGTCTCCATGGCAACGCTTCATAAGCTCACACGGGCAACTCTCCACTCACTTTCGGACCAGCTCTTCACAAGGTAAGTCGCACAGTTACGACTGCCACCAGTGAGCTCAGCGGCAGTGTTGGTAGGGTCGTTTGGTAGAGATGTCCATTCGCCCTAACAACAATGTACTAAATAAAGCGAAGAAATGTTTTTTCATATAAAATTACTAAAATATTGTCAGTAATCAATGTTCACTGATTGTGGGAACAATAATGATTATTTACTTTGCTTGTTTGGTACCCTGCTAGACAGTTCGATTGGTACCTCTGGCTTCACTCTTCGCGGGACTCTTATTATAACATTGACTCTGTTTCACGCCTTGTTCAAACGCTGTCCAGACTGGAGAGTTATAACATAGAGGTAACTCTAAGACCAGAAGGTCCCAAAGAACGAGCTCAACTTTTTGGCTCAGCTCTGGTACTATCTTTGTCCCAAGCTAATCGATTCACCCCTCGACGGAGACGGAGATGAAAAACTACCCACAAATAAGAACTTTTCCCTCAATTCCGGGGTTCAGCCCATTAACCCAAATTTGAGTAAATCGCATATAGTAGTTTCCATTTAACACCAGCAAAAAAATTATCTACTCTTATAGTACGTTCAGACTACAGAGTTATAACATGTTATAGCGCTATCTTGATGGTGGTTTCTGTGTTGCAATTATTTGACAACCGTTATAACATGTTATAACTCTCCAGTCTGGAAAGCGTTTTAAACGCTGTCCAGACTGGAGAGTTATAACATGTTATAACGGATGTCAACTAATTGCAACACAGAAACCATACTATTATAGTACGTTCAGACTACAGAGTTATAACATGTTATAGCACTATCTTGATGGTGGTTTTTATGTTGCAATTATTTGACAACCGTTATAACATGTTATAACTCTCCAGTCTGTACAGCGTTTTAAGTATATTCTACCCAAAATTAAGGTTAATTCACGTAAATTTGAGAATATGCAATTTACTCAAAAGTAACTTATTGGGCTGAATTATATCGTTGGGTCGAATCTCTCGTTCCTTTTTTGACCTCAATAACGAGTGCAAGTGAGAGGCTGAAGTCAATATTAAGTAAAAAGAACTCAAATTTTGGGTAGTATTTTTTCTCTGTGTGCATCGCTCATGACAGTTAAACGATAATGATTTATTTCTCCGGTTTTTAGTTCCATCATCGACTACCATAGCGCTGTAACATTTTCAGACCCGCACAACGAAAGACGTCGCCATCATTCAATCATTCGATTTCGGAAGCACCAGCAGATTGTGAAGATATAAGTATTTTTCGCGTTGTGATAAGCTGAAAAATTGCTGTAAATCGAACTGAAAGTTGCTAGTCTCATCGTACAGTATATAGCGTGAAAATAAACCGCGCGCTTGTCGGGAATAACGAGCAAATCTAGGAAGTGAAAAGTCTCGGCCTATTTCTTAGGTGAGCACATCAGAAAGAAGCAAGAGGAGACAAAGATGGCTGCTCTGCCCCGTAGAATAATCAAGGAAACACAGCGCCTCATGCAAGAACCCGTTCCGGGGATAAGCGCTGTTCCAGACGAGCAAAATGCTCGCTATTTCCATGTGATTGTTTTCGGGCCGGAGGATTCCCCATTCGAGGGTGGACTTTTCAAGCTGGAACTGTTCCTGCCCGAAGATTACCCAATGTCAGCACCGAAAGTGCGTTTTATCACTAAAATCTACCATCCGAACATCGATCGGCTGGGTCGTATATGTTTAGACATTCTAAAGGACAAGTGGAGTCCAGCGCTGCAAATTCGTACGGTGTTGCTGTCCATCCAAGCCTTGCTAAGTGCCCCAAATCCAGATGATCCACTTGCAAACGATGTCGCCGAACTGTGGAAGGTTAACGAAGCGGAAGCAATCCGAAATGCTAAGGAATGGACTCAACGGTACGCGATTGTGGATAACTAAATCATTGCTGATAAACACTTACTAGACACGAGCGGGCGCGACGTTTTATTAAATTAATTTTATAAATACAACAAATCCACATACGAGAAAAAAGTTTATCCTGGAGAATGAAAGCGCTAATAAATATGCAGCTGAACGAGGGAAAAAATCAAGATGATGCGGCAATTTTTGAAAAAAAAAAAAAAAACTAATTTCTGCAGCAGTTCTATAACAAAAGTTCACCTAATTACCTACCAACTACACAAAAATCACCCTCAACAGAAGTCGCATAAAAACAATAGTTTCTGCAATGAATTAATGAGAAAAGAGAAGAAAACAGCTGAAAATCAGACAACAAAGAAAAATACGCCGTGGACGGTCGCAGTCGTAGCGAATATCACCACAGCAAATAGTAGAAGTAGCAGTGCAGCAATAGTGTAGCGACAGCAGTACCCGTTCGCTTCTGATTGATTTTTTTGCTTTTCTTCGAGAACGTTCAGCAACTCCAACCGTATCGGTAATCGTAGGTAAGTTTTACAACGGATGAGTATTTTTTTAGGTTTATACAGTTTAAGCTCACATTATTGGAAAATCTCAACTGAGGTCTTGGGTAGTTGACAACGATCCTCGTAGGGCGGAAGGTTGGATTATTTCAAAGAAGGTAGCGAAGAGCATAACGAATGATTGAGGATAACGTTGTATAGTATTTTACATGCTTCCCCTTTGGAACCTTCACTAAAACGCCCTGCATCCAGTCGGCCAGCGGGTGCAACAGTAGTCCGGATTGTATGGAGTTTACTGATACGCGATAGGTCTCTTTAACAGGTTGGATACTTAATGAATGTCAGTATCAGACTAGAGGTGAACATTTATATGATACATAAGGTGATGAAAGTATATAATTGATAGTTCCGTCAAAGTACGGCAGTGTAAAAAATGTATAATGAGCAAAGGGCAATTTTTCAAAACGGTAAGAATCGAACGAGCATTTCTTTTACCTAGCCATCTATTTGATAAGCTCGGAGTATCAGCGTGGTGTCTTTACTACCGGAAACTGACAAAATAAATAGCCGCCCGATTTGTTCATATACCACCAATATGCAAATACAATGCTATCGATCTTTATCCGTCTAAATAGTCTTTTGACGTAAGCATCTAGTCGATGGTTTTGACCCTGAAGTAGGGTGGTCATTATTGTGGAGTATCCGCTGGGGAAATGGCTGTAATGTTGGCCTATGGATCTAAAGATTGGGCCTATCGATAAAAAATCTCCTGTTCTTAAAACGAGATGAACTAACCAATCCCGTTCTTAAATTTTTCTTATAACAATGCGCCATCTAGATGGATGGATGGATGCATCTCATATTATTGGGTTGCTAGCAGTGTTCAGAAAAACTCAAAAGATCAAATCTCATAGGGTAGGTGTTCCAGTAATAGTGGTGTATCTATAGTTGCGGTATGGAGGTTGTGCCGGAATAGTGGGGAGGATCCGGATAGTTAGATTATTATTTTTCATCGGTAGCTCACCTAAAATAAAGCATATTTGCATATTTCAAACTTAAAATATGCCTAAAAGTGACGGAAAATAATTAATTTTCCTTAAGATTTTCACTCCTTTGCACCTATAGTTGCGGTAGTGTTCCTATAATAATGGAACCCATAAGAAACCAACGCATTCCATTATTATAGGAACCAAAGTTAACAACTACCACAACTACTGGAACGGTGTTCCTATTAATGGAGGACGATCTTTCTAAAATTTTAGGCAATTTTTTTGCAATGTAATATTTTTCTATCAAAATAGAGGTTGAAAGCTATAGATTGACGTATAACAATTGTACAGACAATTGTTATACGTCAATCTATAGCTTTCAACCTCTATTTTGATAGAAAAATATTACATTGCAAAAAAATTGCCTAAAATTTTAGAAAGATCGTCCTCCATTAATAGGAACACCGTTATCGTATATTTATTGTTTAATTGATAAATTGGCTTAGTACCTCCACTACTGGCTTACCCACCCTATATGAGTTTATGCGCCTATGAGTTTTGCCTTGCAAAGTTCGTCGCAAAAATCACCGATGAGTTTTCAGGTTCAAACATTCATTTCTTTATAGTTTGGCGTTATTCATTGTTATTACTATTGTTTGTGCATCAGGGGTTGGACAACTAACACAACATGCATAAGCATGCTATCAATTGACGTTTGAGTGGTTTTTATGAGTTTAAAACTGGAATGATGTTTCGGCGTTGTGAGTGTGAGTGCGTGAATATGCATGAGAATCTCAAGCGTGGATTTTGTTTACCACACTTGCACGCGAGTTTATTCTCGCAGGAAGGCTCAATGAATGAGATTAGAGAATGATTTTCCGAAACCGGTTGCTAGTGAAACATTGTCAACAAATGAATTCCTTTGAAATGTATGTATGTCCAACATTAGGGACATTTAGGCCGACATTAGGGTCATCAACTCTATATATGCAAATACAAATATGAAAATTTGTTTCAAATTTGATGTCGGCCCTAGAGTCACAAACGGAAGTTCTAGTGCGCAGAACCTGCACACTTTCCCTACGTCCGTTTTTAAAATTCATCCTTGAGTTGCACTTGTTTAACATACCAAAATTGATGAAATTTTGGATTTCTGCTATTGTTTATTGTTGTTTATTGTTCATTGAAAAATTCAACTGACAATTATTGTCTAAATGAATAAAACTTAAACTAAATAGTTACGGTCAACCGTACAGAAAAGGCCAAGTAGCGAATGACGAAACACGTTAGCTGTGAAGTCGAACATATAAAATAAAGTTGTTGAATTGACCACTTTGTCAAGCAGTTTTGGCTTGACTTTCTACCAGCGATTTCACAAAACTGGAGCAACTAATTTCAATTTTTTTTTATGAAACGCACAAATGTTGACTACTTTTCTCGAGGTTCTAGAAGAAAAAATCTCAAAATAATGTTTTATTTTAAAGTTCGAGTGGTAGTAAATGTCATTTTAACTGCTCGAATGAAGTGGTTAATTGCCGGCTGATTGCTCGAGTTGGCTCGTGTTGTGTATAAATCCGGCTCCGTGGTTCCAAAAACAGAAAGTCGCGTTGACGAAGAGACCTCTCAGGGGCATACATATTTAGCTGTGACAGCAGTGTTGGACAGTCAATGTCACCCGTAAGCAGCTTTCCAGCGAACATAGCTTGAGCGACCGTCCGTCTCACCTCTAATGGCTCGATTCCCAGGAGACGGCAACGCTCCTCGTACGGTAGCAAGTAATCCAGCTAGCATGGAAAGGGCACCAAACAACTGAACTTGACTCCAATAAGGATCGCACAAGCGAGCAGTAAAGTGACCTGAGGCATAGCGGGTCACGAAACTCGTCGGCAATTTTGAAAATAAAGCCCAATTGTCGATTAGCTCTGGAGATGATGTCATTGTAGTGGATTCTGAAAGTGAGTCTGCAGTCCAAGGTAACGCCGAGATCCTTTATGTGCTCTACACGAGCAAGACTGCGTCCGTAGAGAACATAGTCAAACATGATTGGTTCGATTTTACGGTGATAGGAATTAATGTTACATTTTTCGATGCTTAGACTCATCAAATTTCTTGAGCACCAGTCAGCAAAAATGCCTAACATATTCTGGAGTCCAGCAGTCCGAGAGGCTTTTAATAATTTTGTAGATTTTCGTATCGTCTGCATAGAAAACGCGGCATCCTGGTATCAGCAAGGCGACGTCGTTTAAAAAGATCGAAAATATATAGTACTTTCATAAATTTTCCAACTTCAACACAAAAAAATGAAAAACGTATCCGCATAAAAAAGGATTAGGTGTATGTGCCATCCGCATCACTGAACAAAACCAATAATTACGAAATTCTAAACTAAGGAGACGTCACGTTCAACTTTGTCATTCTCCAGTTCTTCTTTCATTATGGGATTATGCAGTTATTTTTAACATTCTTCATGTAAACTGTTTACCAGCTGCTTTCTGTTTTCCATGATCGATTTCCTTATAGTGACGGTAGCAACGTTTTATTTTTCGCTTTCATTCATAGAACACTGAGCGTACCTGTAATCATGTTTATTACTGTACCGCAGTTCACTCCAGTTTGTCACTTCTGTAAAATCCAATTAAACAGATGGATTGTCGGTGAACTATTTCTTTCTTGTAATAAAATCACGCTGAACAATGCATTAGGTCCTAAGTAACATTGACAGATTCTCTTCGTCGACTTTCTCTTTGCATCCTCACGGCCATGTTAATCCATTCTCAGTTATTTTCAGATGGATGAAAGAAGCTATTATCTTCTAACACTACAAACACCACAAGGAACGGTTTTGTACCCAAGTTATTAATGAAAGGGAATGTTACTTAGCATCTAACATTGTTTAGCTTGAAATCAGGCATAATATTTGATAACGGCACAAAAGCATTTGTAAACAAACTTTCTAAGGCCCTTTACACGTGAACGAAAGTACGCCCGCGACGTGACCAATAAGTGTGACTTATGAAACTCTGGCAATTTCTCGATTATGTGCAGGGTGTTTGGTTTGAATCGGTCAAAAATTGAGAAAACTAGAGCCAAATTAACTACAACATTTAGGACACCAAAATACAAATTTGCAGTGTCTATGTGGATCATGCCAACCTATTTCCGTGTATGCCAAATGTTCTAGGATTTCCAAATCGATATTTCGATACTACAGATATTATCCTAGTTTTTGTTGATCTAGTAAAACAAATCATCTGAAGTGCAGGACGATTTGGAGAACCTAGTCATCTGGTATACGTGAAAATAATTAAACATTATCCATATAGAGGCTATGAATCCAAACAATATTTCGATACTACAGACTTTATCCCAGTCATGGTTGACCTAGTAGAATAAATCATCTGAACTCCAGAACAATTTGGAGAACTTAAAACATCTGGATACTACTTTCAAGAAAATTTGCATTTCAAATGAAAATACATAATTTTTTTAAATAATGTTTCATCAAATCTAGGCCGGTATTATTCAATAGAATCTCATAATTTACAAACGATACTCCTTTAGCTCAGTTGGTAAAGACGCAGCTACAAAGCAGGTCCATGCTGGAGGCGACTGAGTTCGATTCCCGTCCGGTCTATTAATTTTTGGGGTTGGAAAATTGAGGATAGGATGGTACAGGTATAGAAAGCTCTCAATTAAAATGTGAAAGTTGAAGTACTAAGTTGAGAGAAGGCAAAAATCTAATATGCTATAAGCAATAAGCTTGAAATACCATGTAGTATTATACAAATGGTATTTTTAGGCAATGGAAACAGTTTTTTTTTTGTCGCGGATTAGTATTTGAAGTCGCGGATTTATTTTAAGGAATCGCGGATTTCGCGGATCGATTTTAGAAAATCTTGTAACAGCCCTGCAAATGTCCCTTATTTGGGCCCATACATAAATTCAGCAATCTACTAAATTTTCCATAACGACCAAAAATATCCATTAGTACCGTCCTAATGACGCGTTCAACTAGATAAAATGGTTAAATAGCAGATTTTTAGCGATAGGCCCAATCTTAGATTCATAGGCCAACATTAGAGCCATTTTCCCTATCTCTTGTATTAAGTGCTTTAGAATTTCCCTTCTTGGAACTCATTCTAGAGCATGAGCAACATTGCATTTGTTTTTGCAACAAATATCGCTAGTAAATAAAAGGTTACGGCGATTTGTTTTGTATATTTTAACTGGAAAATGTTGATTTTAACGGGTTATGGAGGGTCTAGTATAAGAAAGGAGCGGACTGGTCTATTTGAGCCAAACGAACTGTCAAAACCAGAGGCAATCGAGCAGCGTCTATCTTGATTGCATTGGCAGAGTTGCTAGAAATCGCCTAGGCGTACGTTACCCAATGACGTTTATATAAGGTCTGGGCCAAAGGGCTTATTGGTGTTAGTGAAATGTGCAAATGGTTAGTGGTGTTCGTATTATATAGCAATGTTTATCTTTTTACACGAAACAGCTGTTGGCAGGGACGTATATCTATCTGTTCGCAGCAGCTGGGTGGCATCCCTATCTTGTATGCCTTGCCTTGAAAAGAGCTAACATCGCTGCGGGCCCGCGAATTGTGGGCCCCACTGACAGCTCATAATTTGTAAACAAATAGAAGATTCAAGCCAGAATTTCAAAAAAGGCGTGACTGATATTATGGATATTCTTAATATTTTTGCTTACATTTTGTGAAAAATAAACTTAGGACTCATAAAATATTATTTTCTGATTTTCTACCACGAAGTCAACCATTTATATGGCATAAAAGGGAAAATAATTTCCTTTGATAAAAATAAGACAATTAAGTCACGCCATTTTTGCAGTTCACACTGGAATTGTGACGTTTCAGATGTTGGTTTCAATAACATGGCGGCATGTCACCCAGCTGGTTCGCAGATGTTCAGCAATGTTTACAACATTTTTGCTTCTAACACCAGCAAGCTGCCTGTTGGCCCAGACCTTATATAAATGTCATTGTAGGTTACCAAGGTAGTTTGTTTTGAATCCGCTCCTCTCTTATACTAGACCCTCTGTAGTATAGACCATTTCTGAAAATATATTTGGTACAGGTGCTGGGTCACAATTGCACATATTTGATGAAAATGAGAAAAGCAGCTATCAAAGGAAACTCCTTCGAATGAGTGATATCAGTTTATTTAGACTTCTCAATGTTCCTTAGGACCTAATCAATGTTCAGCTTGATTTGACGAATGCATGGCATTTGAGAAATACTTGTTATCATTCAATTTAGTGTAACCTACACACAAACGGAGTTCTGGTTGACATTCCGGCGAAAAAGCTAAGCCAACCTGACATCAACCTGGCTTCTACCAGACCCCAACCTAATGTTTATCCGACATTGATATTAGATTATTCGACATTCATATATTTCATTGTTCTGGCATTAACGGCGCCGGTGGTGTAATGGTAAGCGTGATTACCTCTCACCCCAGCAGGCCTGGGTTCAATCCCAGTCGGCGCCGCCGGGATGTTCTGAGGCATAACATCTCTGATCACGCCTTCCTTCGGATGGGAAGTAAAGCCGTTGGTCCCCGGTTCATGAGTTGATGGGTCGATAGGTAGGGTCCAGGTGTGGGAGCTGCCTTCCTGGCACGTCGGTAGCATTGGTGCTCAGCACGGAAAACAAGATCGACGGAAAAAACAAACCAAAGGAAAAAAAAAAAAAAAATTGTTCTGGCATTGCTCCGACATCGGTTCCACATGTCTGTTTGGTACAATTTTTGTGGTTTTTTTTCCATTCTCCACTGCCGTATATAAATAAGGTTTTGCACCGTCGGGGTTAACCTCAATCGGATGACAGTTCAGTGGTACTGTTACCAACAATCAATACGAAACTAACAATTTTAAATTAGATCACTACTTGACTAGCCTATTGGTCCCAAGCAAACGATTAACGTACCCCATTCTAGTCGAAATTCTAGTACTACGCAATGTTTGTTTTGATTCGCTATGAAAGTTTGACAGATAAAATGAGGGGTTGTTGGTTTTTCCTATGTTTCGAGGGATGAATCGATTAGCTTGGGACCGAAGAGAGTACCAGAGCTGAGCCAAAAAGTTGAGCACGTTATTTCGGGACCTTCTAGTCTTAGAGTTACCTCTATGCTGTTACGCCTAATAAAAAATTCCATAAACGAATGATAACCCAAATCATATAACAATCCCACAAATGGTTTGGATGATACCTGGAACACGTCGCTAAGCAAAATAACCATAACAATTTTAATGGGACGTGTTTACGTGCAAGGATTTTTCTCGCGGTCATTGCAGAAGTGTGGTTTACTTCTCACTGCAGTCTGAAAAATTATTATTTGCATCAGCCTATCGGAAAAAAAACGTGTTCCTATAGAAGATGGAACTCTCCATACTATAAAAACCAGGGTATCTACTACCTTGAACAGTCCTGGAAAATCTTTAAATATTAGGGAATTTTAAGACAAATGGAAAATGCTGGATATTCGGGGAATTTTCACAATTGTATTGCTTAGTTTACATACGAGTGGCGAAAATCACTGTAAGGGAGCATGCATTAAGAATATACCTAATGCATTGCTTGTCACACTTCATCCTCGAAGCGTGACGTACTTAATGGATTCTTCGTCATACTTCTATGACAGACATACCGAGTAATACCGTTGGACTGTAGTACTACCGTATACGTGATAATGTTTGCACCATTGAGTAATATCAAAATTAAAAAAATTCTTAAAAAATTCGTTTTCAAGTTTTTTATTTATTCAAAGGAGGAATGTTTCTCAGAGTCTTAAACTATGTTAATTATCGATCGAGTTTCCACTTACTGCAATTACGGCCGCCACACGCTTTCGGAATGCACGGCAGGTTCTAATAATGTAGTCTGGATCCAGTTCTCTCCAGGTACGGCTCAATGTTTGTCTGATGCGCCATATTGAGTAATCCAGCGGATTAAGATCGGGGCTGGATGGCGGCCACATATCCTTCGCCCAGAACGGAAGATGTTCCTGCAACCACTTCTAAGTGCGGTTCGAGGTGTGGCACGGAGCCCCATCTTGTTGAAATACAACATTTGGCTTCGGACCATACTGTTCTTTGATCCACGGAAGAACATACTTACTTAAAATCCCGATGTAGACCTCCGTGTTGATCTTGTCGCCTTCTGGAATGAACACCGGGTCCATTTTTTGCCATCGGAAATCACCAATCCGGGGAAATGGTACACTGGGGGAAATTATTTTCGTGGAACTGTTCCATTCGGGGAAAGTGTTTTCGGATGACTGGTTTTCGGAAAAAAGTCGTAGGTACAATCGATTTTGATGCTTCGGAAAAATAAGGTGGCTGAAATATGCATGTTCCCCTGGAATCATTCTATGATGAAGCGATGCATATTTTCCATATTAATGGACTCAGTATTAGTCTTAAAAAATGACTTTAGTGACTGCATTTCAAGAAATAGTGACTTTAGTGACTCTTTTTTTAATGCAAAAGTATCTTTTTTGTGATTGACTAGAAAATAGTGACCAACGTGACAAAGTCGGTTAACAAAATGAAAGCAAATCGATATTAAAGTTTGCAGTTCATATCATAATAAAAACTCATTTTGATCTCAATTGTCACGACATTAACTGCCTATAAAAGCATAATTGTCCCATCTTTGCTTGATTTCCTATTCATATGGGACAGTTATGCTAATTTAGTCTGATATCATATTGTGCTTTCGTTATGCAGTCAATACTTTTTAAATGAAAGCAACTTAACTTTAAGTTCCACAGTTCACGTCTTGTTTAAAAGTTAATTTAAGTTCATCTGTCGTTGAACTAACGATTATTGTTTATTTGTCATTCGTGACTTGCCCGGGGTGAGATTTGAGCTCAAGTCTTTCAGCGTGAGAAGCATCCCGAGCAAAGCTGGTGATCAAATTGAAATCAAAATTTGCTTTTATGGTGTAACTTATTTTGAATACTCCAGTTTATTTCATTTTGGTTGACTAACACAGCAAAAATGAGAACAAATGTTTACACTGTTGAATAAAACGGAAAACTAATCCTGCTTTCAATGAAGTCAATTTGATTACTAAATTTGCATTCATAATATTGAACTGAATACGGGCCTGGCGTAAATGGTTAGTATTCATGCTGAAAGACATGAGTTCAAATCTCTCCCTGAACCTAAATTACATTTTCAACAAGACGTTATTAGAAGAATTTGAAGCACAATATGATATCAGACTTATGTCGAGACAATTGAAATCGCAATGAGTTTTCATTCTGATAGGAACTGCAAACTTTATTATCGATTTGCTTTTATTTTGTTAACCGACTTTGCTCGGGTAATGAGTATCTGTTACTGTTATCTGTTACTCACAAATGAACTGTTACTTATTTTTGTAGCAACAATTACTCATAAATGGGTGGTTCCATTTTCCATAAAAAATGTATATTTTATAGTAATTATTGAGTATTTTGTAATTATCGTGTGGAGAAATATTTTAATACTTCTAATTAATCTTTTTTTTTCTTTCTCGTTTCTCCAGGTAGTCTGAGTTCCGCATATCTCTCCACGGCCTCGTGTAATCAAAGAAGGAACCGGTTCAACCTGCGTTCAGATATCGTTCAAGTTTATGATTTTCAACTTCTATGCCCGCTGCATTATTCTATAATCGTAATAATAAATTATTTCAATACAAAAGCATAAAAAGCCGAAAAAAATCGTAAAACAATAAAAATTTCTGCAGTAAACCATACAAAACTTTTCCTGTTCGTTTGATTATTTTTTGTCGAAACTGAATCTGAATGTCCTTTCAAGTAATAGATAAATGAAATGAAACAAACGTGACAATTTAGAATAATCGAAATTCTGTAGGTTTGGGTACTCCATTTGTGTGTGTCTATAAGACATTTTATTTCTATGCGACTATCACCGTTTATGTTCCTCGTTTTAGATATCCGCAACGCTTGATGATCACGCAATCAGCAGTACGCGTTGAGATGACAGTTTGAGAAACACAAAAACACACAGAAACAGAAAGAAACAAAACCTACACTAAAGCTATTACGACTATAAAAGAAACATAGTTTAAGCTATTGAAAGAATTATAAATAATACTATAACTACAAATAATCAGCTCTAGCGAATCCAATACAGTGGAGTAAGAACAGAAGAGAGTGTAAAACTACAAGAATAATTATAACGAAAAAAAAAATGCATGCAAACGTAAGGATTGTACATTAGAAAAACGAAATAAAAACACTTTAGACAAACAACCTATCTTTTCACCTAATACACAGTTTACAGGTTTGAGTCAGACACCCTTTAATGTGGCGGCGATATGATATTATACAACGTGTGTGACATGCGGCGAACGTCGACATTATGTTTTTTACATGCTGTTAGATGCCATACAATAGTGGGCACCTTGCTTTATGGGCCCTATTATGTAAGTCGAGTCGAGCGTCACTTCTGATCACTCATCTATTTTGGAATTACAGAGGTAATACTAAATTATACCAGTGACCAGAAGTGACTCCCGACTCAACTTACATAATAGGGCCCTATTTTTCAACTCTTTTCCTCCTAAGGTTACACACTTAGAAATGATTACCGACTTCGGTAATTTTTTACCGAACTTTCAACAGCTTGGTAAAATTTGACCCTCATTTCAAAAGCTGTTTCACTAAATTTTAATATCAAAACACTGTCAGCCTTGTTTTAAAAATTGAATCTTGCCATTGTGGTAACGTTTGCCTTGTTTTGAAATCTTAAAACTAATGAATTAAAATTCCTGATTTTTACCGAACAGTTCAGCTGACGGAAGTGAAACTTTGCCGCACTATGATTGGAAAGAAAACCCACACGGCTGTTCAATATTATCTGGTGACTGAGTAAGTTGTATTGCCAGCTCATTTTTCTCAAGGAAATATTACTCAGTTTTTATAAAAACAGTAATGTTTCCGTGAGAAAAAGAGAATGCAATTAGTCGCTGGGTAAGATTGAACGGCCATGCAGTTCTATGCATATTCCCCCTTATTCTGCGAGTCACGTGACTCTCTCTCACCGGTGAGGTGACAATTGTCACCTCGTGTGAGGTGACTCTCCATGCAAATCAAATGGAGAGTCACCTCACACGAGGTGACTATTGTCACCTCACCGGTGAGAGAGAGTCACGTGACTCGCAGAATAGGGGGGATTATATTATAAGGTAGCCTGTAGTCTGTTTTGCCAAAATACTCGGGGCCTAAAGGGGTTAAGGTTTAATTTACTTTGATATTTTTGAAAAATTGAGCAGCAGTTTTATTCAGCTACATACACAGAATAAACTACGTGTACAGGATTTTAAGGAGTTATTTCCAACCGAGGCTGGTATGGGACAGAGATAGGTTAGAATCGTGGCGGGAGTTCCAAATGGCTCCATTCTTGGTCCAACCCTCTGAAATGGGATGTACAACGGCGTGCTGACGCTGAAGCTATCCAAGGGAGTCGAGACCGTTGGCTTTGCGGTGAAAATGGAGTACAAACGGTAGTACCCTCTTAAAAAGATTTTTTGTACCATAACTTTTTGTTAGAATTTTATTATTTTTGCAATGTTCTACAAAATTATAAGTGCTTTAAAAATGCTCATTTTTGCTGAAGGAAGTAAATCACTATTATCACGTTTTAAGGATTTACGCCCGTTTAAAAAAAATTAACGCTATCTTCAATGGGGTGCGCAATGGGAAATTAAAAAAAGAAGGCATTTAATTCAATATAGAGCTGGAATTAGGGCGTAACAGCTTTTGTAAACAATGACTTCTCTCGACTATTTCTAGAAAGCCAAGGCTCGCTCACTCAAATCAACGTCACCATCGGGTAGGGGAAGACTTCCCCTTCCCGCGAGCCTTCCCGTTGGTTATGTTGGTTGGCGTGGGGGTGCCTTGAGTTTCGAGAAATCCTCGAGAGAAGTCATTGTTTACAAAAGCTGTTACGCCCTAATTCCAGCTCTATCAAGATTTATACATCAAAAGTTCGCTTTTTTTGACTAGAAATCGAATGCCTAGCTGGTTGTGCACAGTACGAATAATTTTCGGATAGTTTGAGGCGAAAATAAGGAATTTTACTCTAACTTTTAGTGCCTAAAATTGTGTTATAGTCGATTACTATAAGTGAAATGTCAATCGATTTTAATAAAACCAGTTTCATTTAAAAGCTAAGATTGGCCTTCATAGTCGTATGTAACAAATTGAAAATATTAGGACTTATAAAATTCTTAATGTTCAGCAGTACCATTTTCAGTAGAAACAATTAAAATATGTAAAAATAGTACATTTGGTTGGGTTTTTAGATGCAAACTGAATAAATCATATCATTTCTAAACGGAAAAACCCCGAGGAATCGAATAACAGAGATTTTCTGGTAAAAATACGGGATTTGGTATTTAAGTAGGTTTTGTCCTCGAAGACCCCTATTTTATCATTGAATAACTAATTTTTTTTTTTCATTTCGTTTATTTGCAAATGGCAGACTTAAATGTTTAAAAAAAATAACTTAGCGGAGCCGAGTAACATGGAATACCAATTTTGGTACTCAAAATACAAACAAAAGATATAAAAATGCATATTATTATAGGATTTTCCTGGGTGGCGATCGAAGCGGCGACAAAGCGATCTTCTCCCGTGCACGCAACTTCTTTCTTTCCCGAATTTGTTCCTCCTTTTTTGATTGAACCCGAATCGTGATCGCTGCTGCTGCTTCTGAACGTCGTTTCCCGTTGCAGGCTCTCCGCTACTCTCGTCGGTCGTCGGGGTCGTCACGTCCATTTCGTTATTTTCATTCTCCAACCCCGTGTCCGTTTCCTGGTCGCTAATGACAAACGACGCACCTTCCACCACTACACCAGCATACGCACTGCTGATGTTTTGTTTTCTTTCACTTTGCTTTCCTTTTTCCTTTAGTTGCTTCTCCGGTTCCTTCCGAGCCTTCCGCTTGGGGCAGGAAAGCTTCTGGTGTCCGTCCGCCTTGCACAGAAAACATTTATCTTTGTTGCCATCACAAAATATATTTCCTTTGCGATTGAAGAAATATAATGAAGTGAGGATTTCCTTCTTCACATCCATATATACCGCGTATTTCTGTATATACCTCAAAGCACAGACCAGTTGCAAATTTCTCCCGGATGATGCGTTTAATTTTTCCATATTTCCCCAACATTTTATCCAGCTCGTTGTCGGGTACCTCTGGTGGCAAGTCATACACACGTACATACTGGATGAATTCACCAGCATGCGACATGCGTACCTTTGCCGTCGTTCCATTCGCATAATTGAAGATTGAATCCTCCGAATTGTATGTCAGAGCATGGAGCATCGCTTCCTTTGATTTGAACTTCATGAATACTCCCCTTTCCTCACCAATGCGATAAACAGCTTCCATTTCAGCCGGATCCGCGTCGAGTGCTTTGGCGAAATTTACAATCTCTCCGATGTTTGGTTTAGCATCATAATGGCTGAAGCTAAACTTGATGGTGTTTTTTACTTCACACATTTTGCACCGTAGCAACAAAAGGCACCGAACTGCTAGCAACGAACAAAGAGCAACTATATAATAGCGAGTCTCGAAAACAGGCTATCGCGTGCTTCACACCGAAACAAAAATTCGACTGCTGCTGTAGACAGCTGTGGGACAACTGATATTTATGATTTAATTATTATAATATTATTTTTAATTTGATACATGCGATTATGAAGGACAATCTTAGCTTTAAAATGAAACTGGTTTTATTAAAATCGATTGACATTTCACTTAGTAATCGACTATAACACAATTTTAAACTAAAAAATAGGGTAAAATTCCTTATTTTTGCGTCAAACTACCCAAACATGATTCATGCCGTGCACCTAGGCAAATGCCTTTTTTTGAAAATAAAATTCCCATTGAGGGGTGTATCTAGCCAGGTAGCAGGTATTAGCAGCTAATGTCAAAGTCATTTTGTTCAGCAATTTATACCCTACTGTTACATATACAATTCATAAGAGGATCCAAAGGGATGCCTAATGAATTTTTAAGTAAAGTACCTTAATTTTGTATTATGCTTTGCAGTTTTCATGACCATTTACACAATACAAACATAGAGGTGACTCTAAGACCAGAAGGTCCCGAAGATACGTGCTCAACTTTTTGGCTCAGCTCTGGTACTATCTGCGGTCCCAAACTAATCGATGCATTCCTCGAAACATAGGAAAATCCACAAACCCCTTTTATCTGTCAAACTTGCATAGCGAATCAACGTTAATCGTTTGCTTGGGACCAATAGGCTAGTCAAGCAGTGAGCCAATTTAAAATCGTTAGTTTCGAATTGATTGTTGATACAAACGCGGACCTGTTTTGGGGTCCTTGTTTACCTCTGCGTCCCCACAAAGGCCACAAGAGAGGAGATATTATTAATAGGTTGGGTTCGTTTATCCAGGATTCACAATGATAAGTGATACGATCGTAGTTTTGAAATAATGAATTGTTTATCGAAATTCACACGAATAATAGTTGAGATCTTTTAATGAGCGAATAATGGGATCTTCACAGAAACTCATGATTTTCTGCTCAGTAAACAAAAACGAGTCCCTTGTACCTATTACATTATTGCTGATTGCATCTGAAACTGGACTGTCCCAAAAATGCAAAAAGTGTTATAAAAGTGCACGTTTCCGTCAAAAAGTTTTGATGTCTTCGGAGCACTTATTGCCTGCATCATAAGGAATAAGTGCACCGAAGACACCAAG